CTTCCATACCTCTAGCTTTAACCCCACAGTGCTGGCCAAGTCCTGACACATGTATGACAAGAGACTGACATCTGGTGGATATAGAATGAATTTAAATTCAGTCACATTGTCTTCAAGCAAATAAAAAAAAAAAAAAAAAAAAAGAAAGAAAGAAAAAAAAAGTTTCACAAAACAATACTTAGCCTTACTATGTGCAATGCACTCTGATATTTTTTATTCTATTTTATTTCACAACCCACACTAATGGTTTGCAATCTACAGTTTGAAAAAACTGGGCTAAAGAAATGTTCAAAATCATATGTAAGTGTTAAAGCTAAGATTTGAACCTAACTTTCCAATAAACAAATGCCTCTCTATGAACATTTCTTAAGAAATACTATGAGAAATAGATGTCTCTGTCTACCTACCTACCTATCTATCTAAAATCTTTATCTCATAGGATGGAATCAGGATGTTTTCAAAGATATAGGCTTACTGAGGAACCATAACATAAGATATAACACTTTGACACATATAGGATGACATTAATTCCCCTATTTAGTATGCTTTATGAATGTAGCATTTGCTTTATTTTCTAAAGAAAGCTGATTGCTAACCACAATAAAACCAGATTTATTTATTTGGGGCCATAGACTACACATGTAGAGTTTGTCTTAGTTTAATAGCAAAAGATTATTTCAAATTTTAGTAAGTTTAATTTATGACAGAGCTAAAATGAGAAAAGACAACACTGTGAGGAAGGTAATAGGAGTGGAGAACGGGGGATTGTAGAGAAGGGGAAAGAGTGAGGAATGGTAAAGAGGAAACAATAGGTACTCCCGTGAATCTTAGTTTAGCCCTTCACCTGATACAGTGAAGTTTGCTTGAACTATAGAAGAATAACTTGTTTCATGTTACATCGTAAAAGTATGCAGATCTCAAAATCATCTGGTGGTCTGATATCCCAAAATTAATATATTCCCAATGTCTGGGACAATATTTCCTTGAATGATTTTATCTATCACCAGTGGTTTATTTTTCCATATGCCTATTACTTCTAATCTGTCTGCAGCCTGGTCCAGTCCCTCATCTCCCATATGGATAAAGGCAACAGCTGCCTGGCTCATTCATTAGACTCCAGTTCCTCCATCCTCTAATACAAACTTCATATCTTTCATTCATTCATTTATTCAATCAACTGACAACTACAATGGTTGTATGTTCTTCTTCTAGTCTGTTTCTCACTATTGTTCATATACATCTCTTCTGCTTGACAGGTCTCTTTAATGGGTTGTATTGCCATGCCACATCCACACCTTTGCTTTTTCTGGAATGGCTTCCTCTTTTTCACCTATCCAAGCTCTACTTACCTTAAAGGCTTAACTCAAACCTGCCTTTTCCATGAAGCCTTCCCAAATTACTCAGCTCAAACTGTATCTTTGAATTTACAGCTCTTATGCAGTAGAGTATCATGACCTCGCTCTTTTTACTGTATGTCTCTTATGTTGTTCTGTCCTTGCTTTATGAGTTAGATTTGTCCAGCTAACTCCTACTCACTTCTACAGGGAAATCGTTTCTGATCCCTGTCTGACCTATATGCTACTCCTCTGTGCTTACTATTCACATAATTCACACTGTGCTGTGACCATTTACTTGTCTGTCCCGCTAACTAGAATGTTTGAAGACAGAGTCTAAGTAAACCAGCGTCTGACAAATGCCTGACACTTAAAAAACAAAAGGGAGGCCGGGCGCGGTGGCTCACACCTGTAATCCTACCACTTTGAGAGGCCGAGGCGGGCGGATCACTTGAGGTCATGAGTTGAAGAACAGCCTGAGCAAGAGTGAGACCACATCTTTACTAAAAATAGAAAAAAATAGTGAATGTAGTGGTACGCTCCTGTAGTTCTGGTGCAATTGATCAAGGAACAAAAAGAGGGCACAGGTAAACAGTAGAAATGAAAAGGAGAATATGCCTATCCACAGAATAGAGGCAAAAAAGAAAATCAAGAAATATATGAACTTCATGTAATAAAAAGACATGAAATGTACAAAATCCTAGAAAAACATTTTACCTACACTAATTCAAGAAGAAACAGAGGGCTAGAGCAGTGGTTCACACCTGTAATCCTAGCACTCTGGGAGGCTTAGGCAGGAGGATTGCTTGAGGCCAGGAGTTTGAGACCAGCCTGAGCAAGAGTGAGATTCCGTCTTTATTAAAAATGGAAAAATTAGCTGGGCATGGTAGCATACACCTGTAGTCCTGGATATGCAGGAGGAGGCTGAGGCAGGATGGCTTGAGCCCAGGAGTTTGAGGTTGCAGTGAGCTTTGATGACACCACTGCACTCCAGTTGGGCATCAGAGGGAGACCCTGTCTCACACATATACACAAAAAAGTGGTGGTTCCCATCTGTAATCCCAATACTTTGGAAGACTGAGGCAGGAGGAGGATCATTTGAGCTCAGGAGTTTGAGACCAGCCTGGACAATGTAGCAAGACCCTATGTACAAAAATTTTAAAAATTAGCCAGGTGTCATGGTTTATGCCTATAGTCCTTGCTACTCAGGAGGCTGAGACAGGAGGATCGCTTGAGCCCAGGAGTTGGAGGCTGCAGTGAGCTATGATCACACCATTATACCCCAGCCTGGGTGACAGAGCAAGACCTTGTCTCTTAAAAAAAAAAAGAAAAGAAATTTAAAAAAAATTACAAAGTCCAAATAGTCTATAATTATTAAAGCAATCAGACTGATAGTTAAAATTATTCCCACAAAGAAACACAGGCTCAGATGGCTTTACAGGTGATTTTTACCAAACCTTCAAGGAACAGTCCATTTCGATCTGATATAAACTCTTCCAGAGAATAAGACAAGAGAGAACAGTCCCCAACTTGGAGGGCAAATAAACCAAAGGACCATCTTAGAAACCTCTTTAGAAATCTTCTAAAAACAAAGGCACTAACATATATAAGAATGTTCATAGCAGCATTGTTTATAATAGCAAAAAACTGGAAACAGCCCAAATATCCATTGATAGTTGAATAAATAACTTGTGGTTTATGCACTTGATGGAATATGATACAGATGAAAATGAATGAATCATAGCTATCTACAACATGGATGAATCTTAGAAACAATGTGAAGTGAAAAAAGGCAAACTGCAGGGAACTATTAGAGTATAACATTTTTGTAAAGCTTAAAAAACAGGCAAAACTAAACATTTTTAAAAAATACATATATATGTGGTTAAAAAAATATATACACACATCAGATAATAAACACAAAATTAAGGACAGTGGTTACTTCTAAGAAGAGGCAGGGGGACAGCATAGGGAGGAACACAAACTCAATGATATTTCTAATGTTTTAATGTGTACATTGAATTACGGGTCATAAGTACTCATTTTATTATACTTCATAATTTATTCATGTTACATATATTCTTTATAGATATCAAATATTACATATTATAATTTCTTAAAATCTGCTGTGGTGGAAATTATAAATGAACAAATGAAGTCTCCCTGAAAGAAGGTCTATATTTCTTGGGAAGAACCAAGATTCCCTGACAGAAGCTACCCTATGTAGAGGACAAAGTAGATCCTCAATAAATACTGCTTTGTTGACTGCTTTTCCCAAGGACATACCTGGGGGGTCTGGATCTCCTTCCCTTTGGTGCTCCCTGACATGCAGAACTACCTCCTTCCATACCTCTAGCTTTAACCCCACAGTGCTGGCCAAGTCCTGACACATGTATGACAAGAGACTGACATCTGGTGGATATAGAATGAATTTAATGAAATGACTAGGAAGCAAATCTTTCTCTTTAGTTGGTGAAAGTGGCAATGGGGTGAGGGATAGGGGAACGAGAATGAGGAAAAAATGAAAATTAAGAAACAGGAAAAGGAAGGAGCTCCATCTCTGAGATGTAGGTAGGAAAAAAAGGGACTCATCTACATGAGACTGAAGAGTAAGTCCCCACAGGAGAGTGACTTCCCTCTCCTTCCTTCTGAGATCAAAAGAGGTTATAGCTGCAGTGAGCAAAATGTAGGACTGAGGAAAAAAGGAAGCCAGTCTAGCTGATCTCAACCTAGCAAGCTAAAAGTACCTGTACTTCAGAGTAGTAATGAGTGTCAGCTGCTCCTCCAGCAACTCCCTCTCCCAGTTTCCATTTGGGGAATTCATGTGATTCTGAGGGTGACCCATCCTTTTCCCCAAAGGTGTAGTCCATGATGTAGAATAAGCAAATTAGCATATGCCATCCTCCTGGCCACAGTGATTGGTCAGGGGTGGACATGTGACCCAGGCTGCCTAATCAGAGTGAATCTTGGGACTTTTGCTAGGATTTCTGGCACAGAGATGCCTTCTCTTTCTGGTTGAACAGAAATGGGGAAACATGAAACTGGAGGAATGCTTGTCGACATGAGGTGGCCTAGGCTTAAGATGATCCTACAGAAGGTAGAGAAGTGAGAAAGCATTTAGAGACATATGGAGCCACTGGATCAAGCTTTACCTGGAGTCAGCACTACCTCTGGACTTTCCAGTTACATGAGCCAATAAATCCTTTTCATTTTAAGCCAGTTTGAGTTAGGTTTTCTATGATTTAAACCCAAAAGATCCCTAACCTATACATTCATCATACTTACCCCATCCCTATCTTCCCACAGGATAGCACAGGGATCCAGGTAAGAAGGTCACTACAGATTTATTGGTTACACTAAAGCCAAGGGTATCAAGCTGAAAAGGTCAGAGGCAGCAACTAGGCACTATGTGAGACTGGGTGACTCAGCTGTCTATACAGAGGAGAATGGACTCCCTTTGGAAAAGAATAGCCAAACAAGAAGCAAGTGCAGAGAAGGGCCCCTACAAGGCAGACAGGTAGAGTTAACATATGGATATAAACACTCTTCCCCATAGACCTATCATGGGGGTGTTGCTTTGGGGTCTTTATGCTCACGTGATAAGGAACTTTGAAGTACATGCCCTTTTAAGTCTTTATTACCCTGTGCTGCGGTGTCTACCTCTCCTTTTACCAACTGAAGAACCTCCTTTTGGCTTCTACTACCCTTAATAACACTCACTTTTGGGGGGACAAGAGGAATTTTATCTTCTGCTTCTTTGGCATGCCGGGAACTAGGGCCCCTTCCTCCTTTGGAAACAGCACCATCATCCTGACCTTGGGTGAGCACTGCCCCCGTCCCAGCCTCTCCCATTGGCCCTGGCCTCTCTGGCCCTCCAGCTGAGTTGCTTTTCCTTCCAGAGCCCCACATTTCCCATGGTACCCTTGAGGACTGGGCAGACTCCATGGCAGACTTCTCAGAAGTAGAATTCCTGTCCCCACTTCCACCTGACTTTTTTCGAGGGCGCCCCCGTTTTCTTTTGGCATCACTTCCTGTATCCTCTATATCCTGCTTTGCTGCTTTAGCTGGTGGGTCCTGCCCACTAGCCTCACTAACAGGTACTTCAGCTGTCCTCTTGACACCCTTGTCATGGGGTCCTGGGTCACCACCTATGCCTACCTCCCTGTTCTCTGTGCCCTGGGGCTGCGTGAGTCCCCCAGGTAGAGCTCGCCCAGGCCCAGGTCCAGGCAAAGCAGGAACAGTCGGTACAATCATGTTAATGATGGGCACAGCTGTGGGGGGTCCCCCAGCCCTACTGGACAGAGGCAGTGTAGCCACTTTCAGGGCACCTGAAGAAAGCCTGGGGGCCAGGATGGGTGGAGAGACTGGGATTGGTGGAATAAGTGAGCAAGGGGCCCGGGGAAGGATCAGAGGCAGCCGGGCCACTAGGGCATTAACCTGCGGGTTACTGGCTGCTGGGGCAGGGCTCTCAACTATACTCTTCTTCCGCTCTCCACGCACTGGAGGGCCAGCCCCAGCCCGGGCTTCCAGCTCCTTAGGAGGCTAAAAAATAAAGAGAAGAACACAGTAAGGCATGAAGACTGAATTTTGGAGGAAACATAAGCACCAGAAGCACACGAGGTGAAAAAGTACGGGATCCAACAGAAGGGTACGATAAGCTCCCAGCCCGGGACGGCAGTTAGGGACATTAACCTTCTTACCTGGGCCAGTCTCTCCGATTTCTTATGGGCTCCACCCTCTAGGTTCTCTATACCATTCTTAGATTTAGATGACCGTTCCCGAGGGGCATGTTCGTCCTCTTCTGCAGAAGTGCCAGAAAAAGTAACAAAGTGAGGATGAAGAGGAAACTAAGGAATAGAGGAGTGAGGTGATTCTGACTGACTGATGGCTAGAGATGGGAAAGAGGTGTGTCTAAAACATGTTTTAGAAGGGCCTCCGTGAATAGGAGGCAAATACGGCATGTCTTTATTCTAGCATGTGGGGAAGCCTTTGAAGTTGAAAGTGGCTGAGGGCTTCTCAGACATAAGACAATGTCCACTCACCAGCGAGGCCCATGGCCTTAAGCACATGGGCATGTGCAGATCGGGCAGAGATGAGATGCTGCTGCAGCAGGAAGCGGGCGACCTCAACGATGGAACTGAAGGACCGTTTCAGAATTCGCTCTGCCCAGTCACAGGTCAGAGCGCAGGCTGCCTCTACCAGTTCATCCCGAGGTGCTGGAGTTACTTCTGGGCCCATTTCTGGCTGTAGTGGGGAAGGACATGCCCAATCACACTCTAAACTAAAGGACTCTTTCCCCCTCTCTGACACTACTATTGACCAAAGCTGAGACCAGACTGGGGATGGGAGTAGCCTCTACCCATCCAGTTCCCCAAATCCACAAACTCCCTTTATCCTCTGAGTCAGCCATAGGGTAGACAGAAGGGCATGTCCTAATACCCAGAAGCTATGTACATAATGACCAAGACTGTGTCAGCTCTCAAAACATGTCCCAAAGACCTCTGACTTTTACCTGGGAGGGAAGAGTGGAATTGGAGGTTTATTTGTTACTTACACTCTCAGAACCCTTTAGGTCAAGTCCAGGCAGGCATGGCATAGATACCGTGGTCTTCCTTCGTATGCCACTGTAGCAATATCTGATGCAAGTTAAGGAGCAGCCAACACATGGTGATCTCCAAGCCCCACAGGCAAGTTAAGCCGTTTCTGCTCCTGGCTCTCTGCATCCTAGGTTTCCTTCCCCAGGTACTCTAGCCCCAACCTCTCCAGTCAAGGATACTTGGACTGGCCCCTGCCTCCAAGCCTTCGAGCTTTGATGTCAGGGAAGATCTCTCTGATGATTTTGCCAAAGTTGGCTGTGCTGAGTGGGCGGCAACAGGCGAGACTCTCGCAGTACTTTCTAAGTGAGGGAGGCAGGGTAGGAAGCTACTCAGAAGAGGAGGCCATGGGATCAGGGGAATCAGGTGGGAGGAACTCAGGGTTCCGAGGGATCAGGTGAGAGGAACCCTTTAAGAAGGAGGACTCTATCAAGGTAGGGAGCTCTCCAGCAGTGAGGGGGTAGTCCTGTGCCTAGCAACCCACCCACCCAAACCCTCCACCCACCGATAGGCATCATAAACGCTTTGCTTTGGCAGACAGGTGTCAGTGTGCTCTTCTAGGTGGTTGCGGATCCACCTATAGGCATACATGTATTCCTCATTGCTGAGCGTACTTGGTTCTGAGCTGCAGGACAAGTAAAAGGGACAAGCATTACTAAGACCCTAACAGTTGTCCTGGTTCTTCCCAGACTAACACTTCAATAGTGCTGGACCAAATAGGTCCATCCAGAATCGACCTTGCCCTGGTAAACCAAGCCAGGGCAAGGACCCTTCTTCCTGATCAAAGACAGCAGTCATGAGTCTTCCTGTTTACCTTGCCCTTCCCCAGTGAGCCTTTCTCTAAGAATTAGAACCTCTGACATATAAACCTCTACCATAAAACCTACCTTTTGTCTCCAGTGCTGGGCCCTGAGGGCAGCTGAAGGTAGAGATACAGCTTGTCGTTGTCTGAGAATTTCTGTACATCTTGCTGAGGTAGTGGGGAACAGAGGCAGGAGAAACAATAAGGCCAAGAAGGACCCATTGTAGGACCCTCTGATCCTTACCACAAAGTCTAGCTGACTTAGAGGTTGTCAGACCAAAAGGGGCCTTAGAAATTACTCCCCACCAATCCCATCTCTCTATTGCCCTCTTCCCCAAAATACTTACCAGGATTCCCTCTACTTTGTTCTGCACCGCCTTGCTGTGGGGAAGAGGAGAAAGCTAGAGGTCATACAAGAGACTTCCCCATCCCTTTGTCTGATTGCTAGGGAGGGAAAAGGACTGAAATGCCTAGCAGGTGCTCAAGAACTGCTACCATGACCAAGAATCTCCTCCTGCTCAGATGCATCTGAGGAAGTGAAGTGCTACAGGGTCTGGAACAGGATTTTGGAGATGGTGATGAGTACTTACGAAATGGTACCTCGGAGCCTTTGAAGCAGGGTGGTAGGTTCCCCAGCCTCAGCACCACCTGGGGGGGTCCTTCCCCCAGTCTTGGGGCTCTTAGCATCAGGCTCATCTTCTGCCATTCCGGCATGAGGGCTAGAGTTGAGAGCGGACAAGGCATGAAGATTTAACTCACACTGGCCTCCCCTTCCCCTGGAGACGCCCGGGCACTCCTCATCTCTCCACCCAAAAAGACAGGGAAACAGAAATAAAGCCTCCGAATTTCCCCAGTGGTCTTTTTCTCACCACTTGCCTTCTCCAAAAAATTAGAAATTATTCCATTACTTCGCCAGGCCCATATATACCCAAAGAGATCTTTGCCATCTCCATTCTATCTGCCCCACCTTTCTGAAGTCTCCTAAATCTGGAAAACTGTAAAGGAAGAGATAGAGGGGTGGGGAATCCACGTTAGAATGAAATTTTCATTTCTGTGTCTGACCCCATACTGCCCTCCTCCCCTTCAAAAACAATAACAAGCCACAAAACAAAGTTCTCTAAATTCCCTAATATACGCCTCACCATTGAATATGCCTGGGAGGTCAGAAAGGATACGAACATACTGTGTGCCCTTCCAGGCTGGAAAAAATACTGGGCCCAAGTTCTCATTACTTAATCTCGCCACGACTTCCCCCGCCGCTCCCCCTCCCCACGTCGCCGGCCCCTACGTCATCTCCACAACATCCCATCCCGAAGCGCGCCCCCACCTCCTTCCCTGCCCCCTCCATTCAATCCCCGGTTGCGGCAAAGTGGGGGGCTCAGGGCAGCGGAACTCATGGGCTGGGCGTAGGAAACCCAGTAGGCGGAATGGGGTCCCAGATTCGGGGCACGTGCACATGGGTGAGGAAGCTGTTGAAAATACAGCCAGAATCTTTTTCTGCTTTCCTCCCAACTAATCTTACCCCCTCCCTACCTCTGAACAGTCAGTCGCCTTCCAACACAAGCAACAATAAAGGTAGGGGAGAAAGAGAAACTACCTCGTAGCCACCTTCACTCCAGCCCAGCCCCACGGTCCTGGCCCAGCCGGCTCGTGCGTTGCTTTATTTTCCTTTTTCTGAATGGTTGCAACAGCCGCGATCTGCCTAGATACACGGACAGCCTGCTCTGTCATTGGTCGTTGCTGCCACCCGGAGACAGAAGGCGCCAGGCTCGCACCGGCGGCAGCTAAAGTCTGCCTGGTAACAGCATCTGATTGGTCAATAGGGGAGGGAAAATCCAAAGTTGGGCTTATTTGAGTCAAGAGGGGGAAGTCCGGGTTAGGTTTCGGTTAAAACTGGGGTCGGTTGGGACTGCAGGTCCCGAGAGATTCTTCTCTTAAAGGGACCGCAGGACGAAAGACCAGGCGCTGGGCTTCCTTCGGAGATTTCTTTTCTTTTGCTCTCTCCTTTTGTGTTTCAGTTTTGTCTTAAGAACTGCCGGAAGAAAAGAATCAATGGATGATAAAATAACCGGAAAATTATGGGTAGTAGTGATGATGGAAGTTCGCTGTAAGCTCATGTAGTCCACCCCTCCATCCACATGCAATATAACATACAGACACACTCACAACAAATCTGCAATCACGGGCTCTCCTTCATCCTAATGGAGGCCTCGAAACCTCAACAGTTGTACCACATTAAACTAAAAATGCTTTTATCCCCCATAGTGTTCCTTGGTTTCCCGTATGTATAATACTTTTCTTCCAAGGAGTTGCTAATGCGTTTGCATTCCCTTGGTTTTGCAGTCAGTGAACACTGGAATTTTGACTGACTGCCACCGGGGTGCTGGATGTCCACATGAACTTTTTACCCTCAGAGAACATTATACCGAGTAGGGCATGGGTTCTGGACCCTCTCAGTTAAAAGTCTTTTAGGTCATGAATCAGATGAAAGCAATAGACACTCTGCCATGAAAAATGCACATACAGACCAAGTTTTGCATCTAGTTTTAGAGAGTGGAAATGGACTACAGGTTGCCAGTCTCTTAAATGGATGTATTTTGTTTTGCACAGTACATAACATGCAAAACTATATTTGCCCATCCTGACTTCTAATATATTCTCCATGCTTATCATCAATGTGCTGTTGTGAAGAAGACAGCAGTGCTGCCTTATCACCCCTGCACTTTATAGCCTTCACTTCCCTACCACTAGCTTCTGTGAGCACTGGAGGAACCCAGTGGATTGTGGGGCTTGGGGAATACAGATATACTGGCAAGAAGGTTTTCTAATAATAGCTAAAATTTATTTGGTGTTTATTGTGTGTCAGACACCATACCAAATGCTAAACACCTCATAATGCTTGTAGTAGCTCTCTGAGATAGGTACTATTACTGTCTGTATTTTACAGATGAGCAAACAGATTTGGAAAGGTGAAGGGACTCTCCACAGTCACATCTGTAGTAAGTGCTAGAATCAGGATTCAGAGGCAGGCAATCTGCCTTCAGAGGCCATTCTTTTGACACTGCCCTAGACTGCATGTATACACATTTGCAGACACTTACATACAAACATGAGTTTAGATTGATGGATAGATACCCAAACACCATTGTTTGGTAGAAAGGGGAGTCTAGAGCACTTTGATTGGAAATAGAGTTTTGGGTAAATTATGCTGACTTAAAAAAGTGCAGGTAACAGAAAATAATTGGAAGCTTTAGTAAGGAGAGAGAAAGTATCACAGCTATGTATGGGAGATGATTTTGACAACACTGTAGAAGGTGAAGTTGAGTGGGGGGAAAAGGCTAGAGATGGGGAAAACAGGGAAGTTTTTTTTGTGTGTGTTTTTTTTCTGAGACAGAGTCTCACTCTGTTGCCCCAGCTAGAGTGCTGTGACATCAGCCTAGCTCACAGCAACCTCAAACTCCTGGGCTCAAGTGATCCTTCTGCCTCAGCCTCCTGAGTAACTGGGACTACAGGCATGTGCCACCATGCCCGGCTAATTTTTTCTATATATTTTTAGTTGGTCAATTAATTTCTTTCTATTTTTAGTAGAGACTGGGTCTTGCTCTTGCTAAGGCTGATGGTTTTGAACTCCTGACCTTGAGCGATCCACCCACCTTGGCCTCCTAGAGTGCTAGGATTACAGGCATGAGCCACTGCACCCCCGGGGCATGAAAACAGGGAACTATTTATTAACTTAAGCCAGACATTGTGCTAAGAGCTAGGGATACAAAGCTGAATAAGATGTGGTCCTTGGCAGGAGAGGTGGCTCACGCCTGTAATCCTAGCACTCGGGGAGGCCGAGGCGGGCGGATTGCTCGAGGTCAGGAGTTCGAAACCAGCCTGAGCAAGAGCGAGACCCCGTCTCTACTATATAAAATTAGAAAGAAATTAATTGGCCAACTAATATATATAGAAAAAATTAGTTGGGCATGGTGGCGCATGCCTGTAGTCCCAGCTACTTGGGAGGCTGAGGCAGGAGGATTGCCTGAGCCCAGGAGTTTGAGGTTGCTGTGAGCTAGGCTGATGCCATGGCACTCACTCTAGCCTGGGCAACAAAGCGAGACTCTGTCTCAAAAAAAAAAAAAAAAAAAAAAAAGATATGGTCCTTGCCCTGAGAAGTAACAATGAAAATTGTCTGATAAGCTTCATCATAACAGCAAATATTTACATAGTGCTTAATAATTCCTGCAGGCTGTTCTATGGGATCCCAGATATGTTACCTCTTTATCTCATAGCAACTCTATCAGACAGATACTATGACTATCCCCATTTTGCAGATGAGAAGACTGAGGAATTGAGAGGTTAATAATGTGCCCAAGATTATACAATTAGTAGGTGATAGAACCAGGATCTGAATCTCGGATCTTTGGATTCAGAATTTGCTCTTAGGCACTATTATACATTGCCTACTAACATTGGGAGTGAAATTCTTAACCAAACACAAAAATGCAAACTATTAGGGGAAATATTGATAAATTTGGAGACATTAATATTAAAAATTTAAATTTCCTTTAAAAAATATAAAAATAATACAAAGACAAGCTACAAATTGGGAGAAGATATATTTTTTTTTTTTGAGACAGAGTCTCGCTTTGTTGCCTAGGCTAGAGTGAGTGCCATGGCGTCAGCCTAGCTCACAGCAACCTCAAACTCCTGGGCTCAAGCGATCCTCCTGCCTCAGCCTCCCGAGTAGCTGGGACTACAGGCATTCGCCACCATGCCCGGCTGATTTTTATATATATATATATTAGTTGGCCAATTAATTTCTTTCTATTTTTATGGTAGAGACGGGGTCTTGCTCAGGCTGGTTTTGAACTCCTGACCTTGAGCAATCCGCCCGCCTCGGCCTCCCAGAGTGCTAGGATTACAGGCGTGAGCCACCTCGCCCGGCCTTGGGAGAAGATATTTTTAAGACATAACTGACAAAGGATTATTATCTGGAATTTATAAATACCTCCTACAAATAAAAAGGGCCAGGCACAGTGGCTCATGCCTGTTATCCCATCACTCTGGGAGGGCAAGGCAGGAGGATCACTTGAGCTCAGGAGTGCGAGACCAGCCTGAGCAGGAGTGAGACCTCATCTCTACGAAAAATAGAAAAATTAGCCAGGTGTGGTGGTGTGTTGTGCCCATAGTCCCGGCTACTCAGGACGCTGAGGCAAGAGTATCCCTTGAGCCCAGGTGTTTGAGGTTGCAGTGAGCTATGATGACATCACTGTACTCTAGCCAGGCTGACAAAGTGAGACCCTGTTTCAAAAAAAAAAAAAGTCTGGTGATATCGAGGGTTGGCATGGTTATGGATCAACAGGAACTCTCATTCACTGTTGTGTAAGTATAATCTGGTAAGCTGTTTTGGAAAATAATTTATTACCTGGTGAAGCTGAATAGGTGAGTATCTCAGTATATGCTTAATACCTCAGTAATCCTATTCCCAGACATATGCCCTAAAGACAAAGGTAGTAAAGTTTATAGTCTCGCTGCTTGCATTAGCAGAAACTGGAAACAACCCAATGTCTATGAACAGTAGCATGACAAGTTGTGATATATTCATTTGATGGAATGTCATAGAGCATGGGAGAGGAATGAGCTGCAACTATACACATCCACGTGGATGAACTTCAGAAACTGAAAGAATTAAAACACAGAAGAAAATATACAGTGCAATGCAATTTATAAACATTTAATGTCAGGCAAAACTGAACAATATATTGTTTATGGATAAAAACATGTGGTTAAAAAATTAAGTAATAAAAGCAATAGAATTATTACATAAAATTAGGGATAGAAGTTAGTTATGGTAGTCAAGGGAAAAGAGATTGTTCAGCAGCCAATCAAGAACATCTTCCATAGCATCTAATTTATTTTCCAAATAGATGGCCAGTCATTTCAATATCTTTCTTCTTAGTATAACCAAGTTTCCTTTTATAGTTTTATCATATACTTTTATAATATGCTAAGTTCCCTTATATAATTGGTTGTGTTTCTGGACCATATTGTTATTTTTTTATTCCTCTACCCATAACACACTGGGGTTTTTTTGTTGTTTTTTTTTTTTTTTTTTTTTTTTTTTTTTTTGAGACAGAGTCTCACTTTGTTGCCAGGCTAGAGTGAGTGCCGTGGCATCAGCGTAGCTCACAGCAACCTCAAACTCGTGGGCTCAAGTGATCCTCCTGCCTCAGCCTCCCGAGTAGCTGGGACTACAGGCATGCACCACCATGCCCGGCTAATTTTTTTCATGTATTAGTTGGCCAATTAATTTCTTTTTATTTATATAGAGACGAGGTCTTGCTCTTGCTCAGGCTGGTTTCGAACTCCTGACCTTGAGCAATCCGCGCCTCGGCCTCCCAGAGTGCTAGGATTACAGGCGTGAGCCACCACGCCCGGCCTAACACACTGTTTTAATTAATGTAATTATATAGTATGTTTTGGTATCTAATGCTGAAGGTTTTCTGTTATTAGTTTTTTTTTTTTCCTCAATCAGTGGAGGTTTATTAAGCCAAAATTGAGGATGCACTCAGGAAAAGTACAATTCACAGACAAACCTGTGGTTGTTTTTTCCAAAGGGGAATTTGGCAGCTTTAGTATTTACAGGCATACAGAGAGGAAAAAAGAGGCAGCCCTCCCACTCCCACCATGGTGAGGCAAAATGGTTACATTCTTGTGAGGCCCAGGAAATCTACATTTTGTATAAGATAAGGAGAATGTTAGAAGAGAAAAGGTAAAAGGGGAGTGAAGGAAGCATCAATTATGTAGATGTCCCTGGGTCTGTGGAAGAACTGTCAGGTTTCAGTGTAAAAGTGTCTGTTCTTAGTGCACTCTTGGCTTAAGAATGACCAGACACACCAAAGTAAGGAAAGCACAAGAAGGGGGTTTATTGAGGAGAGAAAGATAGGGTTATGGGGCAAGAACAAGATACAGGTTGACAGAGTGTGATACATACACCACAGATGACCACTGGACCCATTGTCGCAGCAAAGGGAGAGCAAAAAGAAGTGTGCAAAAAGAGCTATTAGTTTTATTAATTAAGAACTCATTCTTTTTTTTTTTTTTTTTGAGACAGAGTCTCACTTTGTTGCCCAGGCTAGATGTGAGTGCCGTGGCGTTAGCCTAGCTCATAGCAATATAACTCCTGGGCTCAACGAATCTCTGGCCTCAGCCTCCCGTGTAGCTGGGACTACAGGCATGCGCCACCATGCCGCTAACTTCTAATATTAGTTGGCCAATTAATTTCTTTCTATTTATAGTAGAGACGGGGTCTCTCTTGCTCAGGCTGGTTTTGAACTCCTGACCTCGAGCAATCTGCCCGCCTCGGCCTCCCAGAGTGCTAGGAT